TTGTCATCTCACAAACTTGGGTAAGATGAGGCTTCTGAGAGCCATCTTTACAGCCTTTGCTTTCCTTAAGGCCCAAATATTTGATGTAAGCTACAAGCATGCTTCCGTCTTTGTTCACAAAAGATTCCTCGTTTCGCTGGCTATTGGAGATTGGCTTTAGCCTGCTCTTGATTTATTCTGTGGAGAATGCTAAAGAGACCTCTACCATGAGACCTACTTCTCTTCTGCAGTTATGCTACAAGAAAACCTACATGAAGTGTTATTATTATTATTATTATTATTATTATTATGTATTATGAGAGTACTACGGAAGTTGGACAATTCCAATGTATATTCCTAATGGAACCAGCCTTCTTAGGCTTCTTTATTCCTATGTGCCCCACCTTATTACATACAAAATAACGTCAAAAGGGAGCTTGGCAATCTCTGAGCACTTAAACAAAATTATCTAAAACAAGGAGTCGTGACTCAGAAAAGAAAAGCAGGTCACCTCATCGTCTGAAGTGGGCAGGTTTGAGCAGGCTTGGAAACAGCTGATAATATCTAGTCTGATGATTTAGAAAATTATTGATGGAACTGTTGATGAAATTAAGAATGAGCATGATTAAATCACAGGTGCCAGGGCTCTGCCATAGACAGGCCTGTAGGGAATCTCAACAGAGAATCTACCGTCACTTGCATCTTCAGGAAGTTTGCTTGGTGCACAAGGTCAAAGTCTATCAAGAAATAAGGGACTGTCACCTATACTGCCATTCTTCAACTCATAAAACTGTATTGCTAGCTGAAAGTGAAGAAGTAAGAATGCAAGAGAGTAACAATTAGTAAAAATTGATATCATTTACTATTGCCTTTTCATAATTAAAATACTTAAATTGCCCAACAGGAGGTATATTTGCTCAGGAGAAAAAAATGGCTATTTTCATCCTGTAGATACTTTGTAAACACCATTTGCATTTCTGTTCAAAGCAGTTTTTATTCAAATCAACACCTACAATTGAAGTGACTGTGCACTGGAAACCAGTGTTCTCTCTCTGACATCTCACAGAGAGGAGTGGCAGGTCCCCCCAGGGACCAGGAGCACAGGCCTCTCAGAGTGCATCTGCTTTAGCTTTGAAGCACTTGGGCACTTGGTACATAGGGACTAGAAAAGAAACAGCACAATTTGGGAGGGGGCATGAGTGATTTTGAGTTGCCATTGAGACACCCATGGGGAGATGTCCAGCAGGAGTTGGAACTGCAAGCATGCTGAGCTATCCTGACTTTCCTCTCACCACTATACCTTCTTCTGAGGCCCCCTCTCAAGCTCCTCATTGCTTACACACCCCAGAAAGGTACAAATTCCATATCAATAATTTTGGGCATTTCATGTAATTGTATATTTCATGTCAGTCCATCTAAAATATAGCCTATGCCCTGACCTGTGTGATTCAGTGGTTAGAGTATCGGCCCATGCACAGAAGGGTTACAAGTTCAATTCCCGGTCAAGTGCACATACATGGGTTGCAGGTTAGATCCACGGCCCTGGCTTGGGCATGTGTGGGAGGCAGCCAATTGATGTGTCTCTCTCACATCAATGTTTTTCTCTCTCACTCTTTCTCTTTCTCTCTCTCTCTCTCAAATCAATGGAAAAAATAGCCTCAGGTGAGGATTAACAACAAAAATTAAAATAATAAAATATAGCCTATAATTGCTGAAAATATTTCTTGCTTTTTTTCCAGATACTGCACTAAAAATAAGAAACTTAATCATATTTATGTAGAATATTTCACTGCAAAGTTGGTCTTTTAAAAAGATTCTCCACATGATATATCCATTAACCAATACAACAACTGTTAAATCATGAATCATCAATAAAAAGGTTCTATTGTGTTCAAAATGACAATATTCTTAAGTTACATATGTTAGAGAATCTCAGTTATTTTTCTCTTTTTCCTCCTCTCCCCCTCTCTCACACCTACGTATATCTATACATGTATCTATATCTATCTTTACTTCCATTTCTCTGTCTATAAAACTGATGACAACCAAATCTATTTTCACAAATACTATTATACTATTATTTATTAAAATGTTAAAATACTAAGTTGGGAAGAGAGATATAGTACCTTTTGAAGTAGACTTTCTTAAAATGACAAGTGAATTTAGATATTAGCTCTAGGAAGCTAAAGGCAGCAGATTTGTATTGGGGTTGAGCTGAACATTCTTTAATTAAAGCTATTTTCATTTTATAACAAAAATCCTTATTGGGTTCTGTGAAGTGACCTGTAATTTCACTTCCTGGACGAGAATAGCTCAACTTTTAAAATTAACATAGAAAATATGTAGCACAAAGCACTGGCTGTATATAATATAAGCAAAATTGAGCTGTAACAAAGGTTTCATTATGTAGGCTGATTTTAGAAGATTTTTAGCTCCAGGGGACATTAGAGATTTTGAGTACGTTTAAGCTACGTGGCATCAATGTCCTCAAATTTAATTTTCTAAGATCAGAGACCTAAAAGGAATTCACCAGTTCACTTTTTCTAAATTAGTGTTGGACTCTATTTTTTGTTGTTATTGCAGACATTTATAGTTAATCATATGCACAGTTGATAAATCCACCATTTCAAAGCATTGCAGAATGAATCATTTGCTTTTTACTTGCTCTCTCAGAATCTAACCTGATCATAGCATAATTTGCCAAATACACAAACTCCTTGTGTATTACTATATCACTGTGATATTCTCCAAGTTGCAAAGGCCTTTCTACCAGATCACACATATGTATATTTTTCTCTGTGTTTTAGACAACTTCAGTGCAGCAGTACACAACAGAAAAACAAGGTAGAACTCTGAAAGTTCTGCTAGTACACACACCTTTAAGGTGCAGGATTTCCCCACTACTCTCCAGGGCTTGGTCTAGTCTCCCTGTAAATTCTCCAGACATTGAGACTTCCATTGGTTGCTTTGAGTTTCTACCTCTGGTTCTGTTATGTAGCTTAATACTCTTTACTCTTCAAGAACTTCCCCTGACATTCAGCCCAAATGTTCTTTAGTCTCACTCACAATTAATACTCCCCAGGACTGACCTTTCTTGGAAGCACAATAAACCATCCCTTTCTCTCCTGAGTGCTAACACTCTTTACACCCTGTGATCCCTCCCCTAACTCTTAGATGTCAGTGAAAATATTAAAGTGCATTCAGTATACACATTTCATTGCAGCTTAGCTCTTTGATGATAACAGTCCTTAACCTTCAAAAATCAATTCAATCATTGATCCACTCATTCAACAAATATTTCTGAACACCTACTGTGTACTCGGCATTGCACTAAGCATTGAACCTAAGGGACATGGGGCTCTCATCTACCCTCATTTACATTATTTAAAATCTACTTTTGTCTGTGGAATCATTTGTAGTAACAGGCTCAGCATGAATATAGTTTTTTTTTTTCTTTTGCTCAATACTTGTTTTCATGTAACAAGTATTATATCTCAGATTGGGAATGAAAACTAGACAATTTTAGCTCATTTGGTACAAGGCTAGGGCATTTTAAATACTTTATTCCAGAGGCTAAAAATGCCTTTTGTCCTCCAGTCTGACTGTAAACTTCGGCGTTTTTACTCCTAACATCTGAAGACTAAGGATTTGGTATAGTTTTCATAATGAGGCAACAAAGTTAGAGGAATGCTTTTTAAATCATTGTCCTAATTTCTTTGTCTTTATAATAACAGTTGTAATTAAAGCCCTTTAAATGTATTCTTTAAACTGAATTTTTCAAAATGAAAGAAAAAAAGCCCTCCAAAACAGAACATTATTTAGAATAGGTGGAAGTAGTCCAGGCACTCTTACCCTGTATTATTTTCTTGCTACATCCTGATCTTTCACCTCATTAGTTGTAACTTCACCTTAGGAAAGGGGACTTGGATAACTCACATCTGAGTGTGAGAGATGCCCCTGCTTTTTCCAAGATTAACCCCTTCAGTTTTCCTTATGATTCCTAAGTCCCTTGTGTTGTGTAACTCTGATCAGAATTATCCCTTCCCCTGTAGATCTACCACAGTTCGATTCCTGGTCAGGGAATATGCCTGGGTTGCGGGCTCGATCCCCAGTTGAGGGCGTGCAGGAGGTAGCCGGTCAATGACTCCTCTCTCATCAATGTTTTTATTTCTCTCTCCCTATTCCTTCCTCTCTCTGAAGTCAATAAAGATATATTTTTTTAAAAAAAGCTCCTACACTATTGTTACCTACTTCCTCTTTATTTCACCATTATCAAGTTGTTTAGATATTAAGTGCCACATTTGTCTTAATTTGAAGCCACTGTTCAAATTGAGGAAGTAATTATACAGGTGTGGTCACATATTAGGTAGGCTCATGTACAAGCAAAGGGGTTTTAACTATCATATGAACAAAGGAGAAATAGGAGTGTTTTAGATATGGAAGTAATATTATTGCAGCTCACATTTGGTGAATTTAACGTTGAGTGTATAGACCAGGTTTTTCTTAATTGTGTTCAGAGTATTCCTCCAAACACTTTGTTTCCTTGGGAGAAAAAAAGTGTTTTATGATTAAATAAACTAGGAAATGCTAAGTGAAAATAGCATTTCTGTCTCTCTGAATTTGATTACTCTAGGTACTTCATATAAGTGGAATTGTACAGTATTTGTTCTTTTGGGACTGGCTGATTTGACTGCGTACAATGTCTTCAAGTTTCCTCCATGTTACATACAGCATGAGTCAGGATCTCCTCCCTTTTTAAGGCTGAATATACGTCTATACTGCATTTTCTTTATCCATTCTTCAATCAGTGGACAAGAGCTTGCTTCTATCTATTGGCTATTGGAATAATGTTGCCACAAAAATTGGTGTACAAATATCTGTTTGAGTCCTTACTTCTACTTTTTAAGGGTACGTACCCAGGAGTAGAATTGATGGGTCGTATGGTAATTCAATGTTTAATTTTTTGAAGAAACGCCATCCTACAAACAGGTTTCTTGACTGCAGAATCTTAGTAAGCAAGCATGCACTATGACTTTTCAGGAGGGAAGCTTACCAGAGGCAGTGTTTCTCCAACTTTACTGGACTACCAAGCCTTTTCAACTTGCAGGTAAAACTGCATGGAAGGATGCAGTTGGAAAAAGGCCGAGTGTTACCAAAATACAAAGTGTGTGCAGGGATCAGTGGGTTTCTTTGGCATCCAGATACCCCAAAGAACTTCCCACCATCCTTACACAGAAATACCTTTACATTGTTTAAGTGTGTATTCATCCTATGAGAATTTGGTGCACTATATGACTTTACCTGATTCTGAGAGAAAGATTTTTGTTCAGAAGTTGATAATATGTAAATGTAATTGAAACCAAGACAGAAGAGGGGACAAAAGGACATCTAAGAGAAAGGAGAAGAGTAAATATTCCTAGAACACTCTTGTCCCATAGTAAGCACTGTATTTGTCCTTATTAAATAACTACAGGAAAGAAAAACTGTTTAAATAAAAATATTTTTAAAACAACAGAAATGGGGAGACATGGCTTAGGCTCCTGTACTTCAGGGCAGCGGAAGGCTAGGGACTTTCCACTCCTGAAAAAGCAGGAGAAGGATGAGTGAAGCTGAAGGCCATTCATTTCCTGCATCCCTCAGCACTTAGTAGCATCGAAGCTGTTTTTGATGAATATCCACAGTGTCTGGGAAGTTAAAATATTTCATTCATGGTTCTGTAGATTTTTACTAGTGTGTAGGAATATTAAAAAGGGGGAAGGAAATGTTGGAATTTTAATTAGGTACTTCATCCCCCTCAATATGGAAGGAATTAATGTTGCATCAATAACAAGATTTTGTATTTCTATTGTAACTTGTACTGATCTAAAAGCAACCATCTGAGTTATAATTCTTCCTGTCTTCTGTATACAAATTCACTTGTTTTGGTTCATTAATCAAAACCACCTGGAAATATAAAACAAAATGGACAACTAAAGAAATGCTACCAACTCATATGCATTAAGACTGGAGGACATGTTACCTAAAGATGGCCCAGCCCTTCTGCCGGTGTGTTTGGAGAATCTGCTAGCAAGAATCAAACACCATGCTCCTTAATAGCATCATCACCACAACACCTAATCATACAAGTAGTGTTCAATTTCACAGCAGGATAGAAGAGACAGTGACAGATATCAGCTTGAGAAGCTGGTATATCTTACAAAAATGACAATGCTAACAGTATTTGCACTTTACTATATACATATGCATTTCCCAACTTCAGCACATATATATGTCCCTGATGCTTAATTATGAATAAAAGTCACTCCCCTACAATGAATATTTGGATACTCACAACTAGGACATACTGAAGAATCATCAATGTTATGTATAATTTCCCACACATGTTATCAATTATTTGAAATATACTTTACAGAAAACATACTGCAAATAAAACGCCACGAGAGCAAACATGTTTTCTAAAGAACTACTTTTGTTTTACAAATCATGAATTCCCTTCAAATAGAGCCAAATGACAGTAAGTTTTCAAATGGACTGAATAACAAGACCGATATTGTTTTGTGTTGTCACAAAAGCAATATTCTAGGAGACAGCAAACGTATTTCGTAAAGTGAGCTGGTATAAATCCATGTGCAATAGCAGGAAAGCAGACAAAGCTTGGGATCAGAGGAATCAAGATGGCTAGATCTGGGACATAAATGAGAAATTGATATTGTCTCTCTCATGTTAAATCTTATTTTTCATAAAAGCCATGATATTAGGCTATTGACTCTTAAGCTGCCACACCAACTGTGGTTATTTTGTTTCAAGCCTCCACATCAAAATACATGTCCTTTTATGAAAAACAGAGGACTTGCAGCTTTCTGTAAAGGTCTCTTAGGTCCCATCTATAGAGATGGAACTTTCCATTCCAAAGCAGAGCCCTACCTATTATGCATGGAATGTGTTACATGGCTCACCATTAAAATGAGCAAAATCATCAAATTTTCTGGCTTTTTAAAATACAGAGTACACAGAAGACACCCTTATTTTGCTAGTAACGCGGAGCTATTTTTAATAACATATTGAAAAGTTTTTTATTTCATTCATTTTTTTCATGAAATATTTATGAAGTACATACTATGTGCTAGACACTAGTCTAGGTGCTAGGCTACAGCACTGGGGAAAAAATAAAACAGACTAAAATCACTGCACTCATAGACTTGGAGGGAGTGGGGGAAAAACCAGACAATATACAAGATAAATTACATATGTAATATGTGAGATAGTGACAAATGATGAAAACTAAAGTACAGGAAAAAGACAGAAAATGTGGGAATAACTGTGTTAAGCAGGACAGCCAGGGAAACAGTAAATATAAAGTCCCTGAGGTCAGAACATGTTGATATGTTCGGACTCTAGCAAGAAGGCTCATGTGGCTGGGACTGAGTGAGGGCAGAGAAGTAGGTGAGGAAGTCAGAACTGGACGGTGGGGGGTTAGAACAGGGGGCAAATCTGGAGCTGTGGAAGCCTCTGGTTGCCATGCCAGCCCGCTGCACATTTGTGCGCCCCAGGATGCCACTCATACACAATTCAGCGTGAATGATGACGCTGGACTTTAGAGACCTGGGATTCTGCCAGCCAGTGCAAGGTCTACATATTTGCGCCTTTTCCATTTGTGGGAAATAAGGTTACTGTGACCCTGTTTGCCTGTGCAAGCACCTTGGAGAGTGTAAAATGCAAATAAACTATAATTTCTTACCCAGAAAGGTCTGCATTCTAGCCTGAAACTGCCCTTCGCAAGCATAGTTCCTCAACTCGAGATCACATAAAGGCCACACTGAAGTAGCAGTTTTAATTATCTGTGCTTTAATTTAAATCTCAATGTGGGTGATGGTGACAGAAGAGGATCCCGAACTCACCTCCTCACACAAAATGTACACACCAGATCTACACACCAAATCTACAGGTACACATGGCACAGCTTCCTCTGAAAAAAAAAACAAAAACCAAACAAACAAAAAACCCTAAAACCTGGATGGTGACACGCAGACTCCTTTGAACTGGGCGAATCAGAGAAAGGGCAAACGGAAGCAGGTAGCAGCGGCTCTGACACAATCTACATCTCCCCAGCCAGCCAGCCCCACCCGCGGCCTGCAGTCTGGAGGAAGCTCAAACCCCAGCTGCTCCTTGAGCACTAAAGGGTTTGAACCTCCCACCGGGCACCTGAGGAAGGAGCCTCCAGGAAAACCAAGGGCAAGACCCGCAGGCTGGAGCGCAACCTGAGCCGGCGCGCCCGCCAGCACTCACCGGGCGCAGGCCAGCGCGGATCCACGGAGGGCGCAGAGACCCGGGCGGCATTGATGGAGGGCGCAGAGACCCGGGCGGCATTGATGGAGGGCGCAGAGACCCGGGCGGCATTGATGGAGGGCGCAGAGACCCGGGCGGCATTGATGGAGGGCGCAGAGACCCGGGCGGCATTGATGGAGGGCGCAGAGACCCGGGCGGCATTGATGGAGGGCGCAGAGACCCGGGCGGCATTGATGGAGGGCGCAGAGACCCGGGCGGCATTGATGGAGGGCGCAGAGACCCGGGCGGCATTGATGGAGGGCGCAGAGACCCGGGCGGCATTGATGGAGGGCGCAGAGACCCGGGCGGCATTGATGGAGGGCGCAGAGACCCGGGCGGCATTGATGGAGGGCGCAGAGACCCGGGCGGCATTGATGGAGGGCGCAGAGACCCGGGCGGCATTGATGGAGGGCGCAGAGACCCGGGCGGCATTGATGGAGGGCGCAGAGACCCGGGCGGCATTGATGGAGGGCGCAGAGACCCGGGCGGCATTGATGGAGGGCGCAGAGACCCGGGCGGCATTGATGGAGGGCGCAGAGACCCGGGCGGCATTGATGGAGGGCGCAGAGACCCGGGCGGCATTGATGGAGGGCGCAGAGACCCGGGCGGCATTGATGGAGGGCGCAGAGACCCGGGCGGCATTGATGGAGGGCGCAGAGACCCGGGCGGCATTGATGGAGGGCGCAGAGACCCGGGCGGCATTGATGGAGGGCGCAGAGACCCGGGCGGCATTGATGGAGGGCGCAGAGACCCGGGCGGCATTGATGGAGGGCGCAGAGACCCGGGCGGCATTGATGGAGGGCGCAGAGACCCGGGCGGCATTGATGGAGGGCGCAGAGACCCGGGCGGCATTGATGGAGGGCGCAGAGACCCGGGCGGCATTGATGGAGGGCGCAGAGACCCGGGCGGCATTGATGGAGGGCGCAGAGACCCGGGCGGCATTGATGGAGGGCGCAGAGACCCGGGCGGCATTGATGGAGGGCGCAGAGACCCGGGCGGCATTGATGGAGGGCGCAGAGACCCGGGCGGCATTGATGGAGGGCGCAGAGACCCGGGCGGCATTGATGGAGGGCGCAGAGACCCGGGCGGCATTGATGGAGGGCGCAGAGACTCGGGCGGCGAGGCCCTGCTGCTGTCCCGGAGCGCGGGCCCCACAGGCGGGCGGCTGGTCTGACCCGTCCGCGGCCTGCCGGATGCTCTCCGCGACGGAGGCCGGTGGGTGCCATCTCCACCTTGTTCTCCCTGGGGGGACACTTTAGTTTTTTAATTTTAGTCCCGGTTTTCTGCCGCCCTCCAGAGCACCGGTATCTCCCGGGTGGAGCTCTGACCCGGGTCCGCTGCCCCGGTTTTTTGCTGCTGTCACCAGCCGCACCTCTCGGTGGCCTCGCTCGGGTGGCCAGTGGGGCCTTCTCCTGCGGGCCCCACGGGGCTGTATCCAGCAGAGAAAGATTTCTTGAATGGTCGGCACCCTCGGGGGCACAGCCAGAGCCAACAGACCCAGGAGCTCGGTCTTTCGGAGGACGAGGCTGGTAAGCTTCCCGCCAGGGCTGCAGCCTGAGGCGCAGGCTTCCGCTGCGACGCTTCCGCAGCCTGGCTGGGAGCTCAGAGCATGCGTGGTCCTCATCCGCCCGCCCGCTGCAGTTCTCGTGAGGTGCCATCATCCCGCGAGAACTGCCCCTGGGCCCTCCGAGCGCTGGTAGCGCTCTGAAAGAGCTTCCGCAGGGACTGACGCGGGTCCTCGCGGCCGCGACCCGGGAGCCGCGCCTCGGCTGCGTGTCTCTGACGGCCGAGGACTTGCTCCTGGGCCCCTCAGGACTGCAGCTGTGGGGACAGTTCTTGGCAGGCTACCACCCCCAGGACACAGACAGCCCCAGGAGACACGGCCCAGTCTTTCTGTCAAGAGGCCTAAGTGCTTATCCTGCAGCGTCAGGCTTGGCGCACACCTAGAGACCTACCGATTTCAAATTATATTATAAAGCTATAGTGATCAAAACAGTATGGTACTGGCATAAAAACAGACACCTAGATCAATGGAATAAAATAGAGTGTTCAGAAATAAAATATATGTATATAGATGGCTAAATGTGAAGACTTTATAAAGCTGGGTGGTAAGTCTTCAAGTGTTAATGAAAATATTTTACACTGAAATTTTTATTTTTTTAAATATACCTTTATCGATTTCAGAGAGAGGAAAGGAAGAGGGAGAGAGATAGAAACCTCAATGATGAGAGAGTTTGATCGAGCCCGCAACCCGGGCATGCGCCCTGACCGGGAATCGAACCCCGATCGCCTGGATCCCAGGTCGATGCTCAACGGCTGAGCCACGCCCGGCCGGGCTACACTGAAATTCTTAATTGAACAGGAAAAAAAAATCCTATTTTTGCCAATTTAGAATACATTTAAACATTAGTATGATATTAAAATATAAGCTTGGCCTAAACTTTGGGAGAAGTTATATGTAATTTTAGAGGTATAATACAATTTGTTTAAACAGTAGAAAGGAGGGAAAAAAGAAATAAGCTAAAAATATAAACCAGCGGAGTGAAGGAGGCACATAGCAAATATAGGCACTCAAGAATTGGGTGGGGCGGTGAGAGTGGAACGTGGCAGAATCTGGGCACAGCCCCAGGACTTCTTGCTGTGGTCCAACTGCCCTTCTCAGATTAGAAAAGATCAGTAAACCAAGCAAACAAACAGAAACAACAGCAAACACAACCAACCAACAACAACAAAAAAACTAAATGTTTTTCTAAAGAGGCCAGACTCAAGAGGGTAAGGATGCCAAAGCAGGCAGGCACTTCTATGTAGGGGCCAGAGAAGGCGGTGAGCACATAAACTTAGTTAAGCAGAACTGTGTTTGAGGAAACTTGAGGAAAGGCAAAGAGTCTAGAACAGGGGCAGAGAGCTGGGGTTTTGGAGTCAGGAAAACACGTGTTTGATTCCAGAGTCCACATCTTCTACTTGGGTGACTCTAAACCTGTTACTTAACCATTCTAAACTTCAGTTTTCTCTTTAACAAAATAGGATTAAAATAATACCTTTTTCTATGGCTGTTGTAAGGATTAAATGAGATGGTTGTGCCATATGACATAGGTTTTGAACAAATACTTTCTGCTCTTACTACTATTGTTATTATCCATCTTGTTATCTAAATGTGCAAGTCAATTGATACAAATGCTATATACTATGTTAGAAAAGCAACTCAGGTGGAACAGGCCATCGTTTTGGTTATATCATGTTATGCTCTAAAATAATTTTCACTAAAAGGCTACTTGTAAGAATGAGAATGATAAAGCCTGCATATACATCTGTTTACGTATATACCTGGATGCACAGGAGGCTCAGGATTGTTTAAGAGAGCTTTTTTGTGAAAGAGGAAAGGAGGGAGGAAGAAGAGGAGGGAAGGACCTATGATCAAGTGACTTGATATCTCTGGAAACTTGTTTCCTCATCTGTAGAAATCCATAGACAGGAGATTCAAGTTAAAGAAACGTCACTTCCACAGCAAAATAAATAAATAAATGGCAGTGTAATTATCAAAGTTAAATCCTTTCATGGTTATTTTTACCTACACATCAATATAACCAGTTTAATTCCCAAGTTATCTTCTCCTGAAATTAGAAAAAGTCTATTTGATGCAGTATGTAATCAACAGGTGATTAGACCAGCCAATTTGGCTGATGGAGATAGCAATTGAAGTTGAGACTTTCAGCTAGCATAGCTGTGGAAATATCCCATGTAAACAAGGTCACACAAGACCCATACTTTTCTGCCAATACTCATTGCCTCAGTAAATTGGTCCAAGAGCCATCTCGTTCTGGCCTTTTTCCAATCCAGTGATGAATCCGTTTATCAAAATCACTGTCAGGTAAATGTTGTAAGACCTTGACTAGGGTATTCCTTAAACTTTAAGAGATGGAACACTTTGTAATGTATTTTCAAATTGAAAGTCACTTATCCTCTTAGCACCCCAAGAAGGTTTATGAACCAAATGCATGCTAAGAAATATTTTGAAAAGAACCAGTAAGGGCTTAGATGGAAAGTTTCAATGTAGTGGATTGTGGTATACTCCAAGTTCTATCTAAAATAGGTTTTCAGAATTAAAAGTTTAGGCTCCTATTTACTCAGGAAGAAAAAAAAAAAGTGAAGCTAAAGTACTGGAAATGGGATGCAGTAAAACTCTAGGATTTCATCCAACTGTTGCTTGGAAATGAAAATTCCCTAATGGGAATAGGTCTTTGAAATGGGACATCTGGGTTTTACTAAGTGGGTAATTAAAAGTTTGAAATCTTGCCTGGAAAATGGGACAAAAGCTCAAATTACCAAGATAGGTGAGACATTCCCCACTGCCTTTATCATAGGAATGGCAGGGGTCCAGGCTCTAACAAAGCAAGGCAGAGAATGTGTGCAGCTTAAACCACCCAAGGATAAAGGGGACTTTGGAATCCGATTTCTGGGGGATATTTGTCAGAAACATGCTATACTTCCCACAGCTAATGAAACATCCTGTGTTCCAAGACCAGCATGGAGTGACTGATGCTCAGCCAGGTAAATCGTCATCCTAAAAGATCCTTTGACCCTTTCCTGACTCATGACCAAGACTTGGGCTTTCCAGGGAAATAGGCAGGCACCAGTTCAAAATGAAAGTCACAATCTAGTTCACCTGTCACCTCCTAAAGCTTGTAGATGAACTCAGAGGCTCCAATTAAAGTAGAAGCAGTCTGGCTGTGCTTTATTCGGAGATTAAATAAGATTATAGGGCAGAATACTGAATCTAGATGAGAAACTAATTAAATAAAGACTTGGATGATCTTCCCAAACCAGCTTATATAGAACTTCTCCCTAAATTATATGTAACTTGCTTGATTTTTCTGTGACATTTTTGTTTAAAGAACATTGCATAGAGCATCTAGCTGGGTTGAGGGATTGGCAGTAATAGACATAGACAAATTCTCAGGAAAAAATGTTACTGGATGTTCCTCATCGTAATGACATTCAACTCAGCAGGTTATTCCATTCATTGGGACAGTTTGTAATATCATCTGACAGTTAATATTAGTATCTTTAGCGTCTTTGCATCACAGTCCTCTAGGATGCCATGAAGAATCATGGTTCAAAGCTTGAAGCATATCACTCCTCCCACAACTTTGTAAAATACTAGAAAAAGTGTAAACTATAATATTATGGTAGAAATCTGAGCATTGTGTCACACTAAGAAAATGTTTAGTTAGTTAGTAAGTGTAAATTAGTTTAATTTGGCACCCAAAGTAAGAATTTCCCAAGGCTAAATGCTAATGCTCGACATTAGTGCTTTACAATTAGAATTCAGAAATGTTCGCATTCGTGCTAATGTTGCAGGTCTTCTAGGAAAAAATATCTTAGACAATTAAGTCTATTTCAATCCTATAGTAAATTCAGGAAATGTTTTTATTTTTATTTTTACCAGACACTAAAAGGGATGTGTGCAGACTGAAAGAATAGTTTAGATAACAAGGTAAGAGGGATTTGAAAGTGTGATCTTCTCTATTCTATTTGTGACATTAAGCAACATGTTGAAGCTTTCTAGGCTTTGGTTTTCCTTGTACAGAAATAATGATGTGGCTATTTTGTTTCAGTAGTGTTAAAATCCTAATTGGATTGTTGTTCAGTATTTTACAAAAGGCAGTTAAATTAACTAACCATATCACAAGGCCAAGGACACAATACCCCCTTCAACTGTCTGCCTACCTTTCCCGATGCCCTAATCCCATTTTGAAGGCCAAAAGATCCTGGAGGTAGTTAAGCAAGACTAAACATCTCCTTCTTTATATCAGAACTCCAAACATCCCACCAGCTAGGATATGTCAGTCAATCTGGCATCTCACTGAAACTTCTATGAACTCAAGCCCTGGCCAGGAACATATAAATGGACGACAGAACACTAGAAAGTATACCCACTGCTTTGCAAATACTGTGGGTATGGATAACTGAAAAAAATAAAATAAAAACATCTGGAGTCTGCTGGGCTCCACACTCAGATGGAGGAGGGCATTGCTGTGTACTATCACCTCACCAGCAATCCCGGTGGACATTGTGTCCTCAGGCCCTGTGTCTACTATCCCACCACTCTTGCCTCTATCACCACCAGCCTCCAGCCCCGCCTCTTGGTATCCTGCTGGCCTTCTCTATAAAGAG